GCCGCCCTCGCCCCTGCGCCCTTGGGCGAGTCCTGGCTCCTCGGCGCCCGGGTCTTCCCGCGGTGCCACAGGGTGAACGCCCAGGTGGGCGGCGCCGGCCCGGCCCCATCTCTAAGGGCTGGGCCCAGAGCCAGCCCCCCCAGCCCCGCACCCTGCCCCAAGCGCCGGCGTTGGGCTCGCCGCGGGAAGGCAGGCTGGGGCCAGGACACGGGGGGAATCCAACTCTGCATAACCTTTGACCCTTACCCCCAACTCGGTGTTTCCATCTGAGAGCTGGTGATGGACAAAGATGTTGGGTTCAGTTCTCAAACCCAGGAAGCCGCGCAGGAGAACGGGATCTGACCAGCGCGGATGAGTCCTCTCCAAGGAACCCAAGGCTCCAGGACCGACCCCTCCTTGGACCTGGGCCTGGGTTTTATCCCAAAAGGCAACTCAAAGACCGTTTGGTTTAATATGGTATAACAGTTACAGAGAGGACAGCACCGGCCCTGGGTTTCGTCTGTTATTTGTTTTTATTTATTGAGTGTCTTCACTATGTACCTACTGTGGTTGGCACTGGGAAAACATATGGGCCCTGTGTTTGATCTGGTTAGAGTCCAGGCTCTACTTGCCACCCCGTCAAGTTAGGCCCAAGACTCTACTCCTTGTTCCTTTGTTTGCTGCTTCTGGGCCTGGGCGCTGTCGCTGAGCTCCTTTTGCTCAAGGCTGGCATTCTACCATTTGAGCCACAGTGCCACTTCCAGCTTTTTCTGTGATTTAATTGGCAATAAGAGTCTCAGACTTTCCTGCCTGGGCTGGCTGCCAATCAGGATCTTCAGATCTCAGTGTTTCTTGACTAGCTAGGATTACAGAAGTGAGCCACCAGCACCAGGAATGCTCTTTTTATTAATCTGAGAACTGACTCTTTAAAAAAAAAAAAAGCTGTGGCTCAAGTGGTAGAGTGCTATCCTTGAGCAAAAGAAGCTCAGGGACAAGCCGGGTGCCGGTGACTCAAGCCTGTATTCCTAGCTACTCAGGAGGCTGAGATCTGAGGACCACAGTTCAAAGCCACAGTTCAAAGCCAGCCTGCCAGGAAATGAGACTCTTATCTCCCATAAGCCACTAGAAAACGGAAGTGGTGCTGTGGCTCAAGTGGTAGAGTACTTGCCTTGAGCTGAAGAGCACAGGGACAGCGCCCAAGCCCAGAGTTCAAGCCTCACGACCGACCAAAAAATAAAAAAAAGATGCTCAGGGAACAGCACCCAGGCCCTGAGTTCAAGCCGGAGGACAGGAAAAAAAAATTGAAATGAACTCCAGGAAATGTAAATAAGAGGGATTTTCTTCATTGTTTTTGTTTGTTTTGTTTTTCTTTTTGTTTATCTGTCTTTGGAAGGGCAAGGGGGGGTCACAGAAATAGAAGGATGGTGGGTGAACAAATGCAGCAGTGGTACTCACTAGACATTACGTTGAAAATGAACTATATATATTAGGGCTGGGAATGTGGCTTAGTGGAAGATTGAAGATTGCTTCCCTTGTTTGCGTGAAACCCTGGGTTCAATTCCTCAGTACCTCATACACAGAAAAAGCCAGAAGAGGTGCTATGGTTCAAATGGTAGAGTGCTAGCCTTGAGCAAAAGAAGCTCAGGGATGGTGCCCAGGCCCTGAGTTCAAGCCCCAGGACAGGCAAAAGAAAAAAGAAAATGAACTATACAACTTATGGGTGGGGATGGGTGCAAAAAACTGGGAGAAGAGTGAGGGAAGGGGTGATATTGTCCAAAAGAAATGCACTCTTTACTTATGCAACTATAAGCTCTCTGTACATCTCTTTTTTTTTTTGTTGGTCGGTCGTGGGGCTTGAACTCTGGGCCTGGGCGCTGTCCCTCAGCTCTTCAGCTCAAGGCGAGCGCTCTACCACTTGAGCTACAGCGCCA